GCTTCTGGAGCCATGGCCGTGCCTGAGAGCCGATTGTGGGGGGCAACTTGTGACCTCAGTAGGGCGTGAAGGACGAGCCAGGAACACCCCCCTTCCCATGAGGTTTCAGTCGCCCCTTCATGACCGACTCATACCTGGCTTTCCAAAAAGCTCTGAGGCGGCTGCCATCTTGCTTTCCAGAGGGAAAAGCTTCTCTGTGTTTTAGCTCTTAGCTCTGGTAGATGTTTTCTCTGTTTTGTCTATAGTTATTAGCAGTCTTCAGTGGGAGAGAGAACTATAGGGAGCTAACTGCACCTTGACCAGTGCCAGATGCCCACAATAAGCTCTCTGATAGTTGTAGGATAACATTGGTTTGTCATTTCTCCCTGGCTGAAGGGAGCTTAGGTTTATAGGGTAACATACTTCACAGTGCTCCCGAGGCACTCCCATTCTTCTCTGTTTATCTTTAACCTCTTCTCTGTGCTCTCTTCCCCAACCAGTTAATCACCATTTCTTTAAGCAGTACCTGTGACTTGTAAAGTCAAATTTCTCAGAAATCTCTGACTTTGTATTTGTAAGTGAAATATTGCTTTTCTCCTCCCCTTACATTCTTTGCATAGTTTACTTCAGAGCAATGTCCTTTTTGTATAGACACAGGAAAACAGTTAACGCTATGCTTTTATAATTTGGGAGTTAATTGGCTGTGAATAATATTCACTCCTGGGCATTTGTTTTCTCAACTTGAGCCTCAATTGCTCTTAGTTCCTAGCACCCCAAAAGCAGGGTCTCAACGAGGTTTCTGGATCGACCCAGGGCAAGCTGTGAGCTACCCTGGCATTGAAATGGGCCAGGCCAAGTGCCATAATACTTAACTATAAGTTAAGGGTATGGTCGTGGACAAATTCTGTCATGATCTAAAGAGTAAGAACTGGATTAGGACCTTGCTAGGGTCAGGAAAGACTAATTTGGCCTGAGTACTGTAGTCTGAGATCTATAATGAGTTGTCTCCAGGAAAGCCACCCTACAAGCTTAGTATATCTTTTACTGTGTCCATATAAAATGACTAGAAAGATTGTTTAGAAGTAAGTAAATCTGGGGCTGGAATGATAGCACAGCGGGTAGGGCATTTGCTTCACACATGACCTACCCAGGTTTGATTCCCAGCATCCCATATGGAGGAATAACCCCTGTGCATTGCCGGGTGTGACCCAAAAAGCAATAATAAATAAATAAATAAATAAATAGATCTAAGATGGTTGTTGAACTAAGGAAAGGAGAAACACACCCCTAGATGGTATTTTGCCCTTGAACTTGAATGGATCTCCTAGCTGCAGGAGATTTTTGTCTTATCTTAGAAGACTTTCCTCAGAAGGAAGGGCCTTTACATATGTTGATTGTGCTACCTCACCTGGGTGTAGTTGCTAATGCTTGGAGGTGAGTGGGAGACCAAGGCTGCTAGACAGAGTGTGGAGAGACTAGCATGGGGGACAGGAATGAGGCTGGAGTGGGCGCTTAGTTAGACTAGAACAGGCGCGTGGGGAGAATGGAATAAACGGCAACTGATCACCAACCAGCCCGGTGACCCTGTTCTCTCCTTCATGCAACTGTTGGCGGCTGCCGCAGGTTGGAGTGGGGGAACTTGCACGTGGCCACCAAACACGCGTGGGAGGCAAGAGAGACCATCGTCACCGCCGCCATCACATATCTATTTTGTGATTACACAGGTAGTTTTGGTGTTTTGTTTTTCTGATTCAGAAAAATGTATACTGTGTTGGTGACCTTTCCCTTTAATTTTACTACTTCGCTTTTCTTGTTTTGTGTATTGCTGTTGTTTTAGTAAAGTGGGGCCAGTTTTATAAAACCACTTGTCTTGTCACCACTATAATGAAACTATTCTTATTGTTTTGTCTTGTTTGGGGGTCACATCTGGCAGTGCTTAGGGCTTATGCTGGATCTGTGCTCAGGGATCACTCCAGGTGGACTGGGGGGTGGCCTGTATAGGATGCCAGAGATTGAACCTGGGTCAGCCACGTGCAAGGCAAACACCCTACTCGCTGTATTATTTCTCCAATCCCTGCAACTGTTTTTCGGAGTCTCCTGTCCATGTCTCTGTTGCTAAAGCCAATGGGTATTTCTTTGTCTTTCCCTTGACTTCCCAGCAAATTGGATCCTCTTGAAATGCTTTCTAGTTGGCGCTGAGATTCTAGACTCCCCCCGGTCCTGCACCACTACCATGCCTTCTGCCTTACTGATGGCTTCTGAAGCACAGCCTTTCGAGTGTCCTCAGACATTAGTCTTCTTGGTGCTACCTGTCCCTGTAATTTGCAAATACTTCCATTCATCCATTTACAGATTCGCCAATTATAGTTCCATCTCTGACATCTTCTGTAAATTCTGCTTTTATCTTCATGTGTGTCTAACAGGCTCAAACTGAAACTAGTTTAGCATGTCTAAACTAAAAGCCCTGATATCTTCTCCATGCCAAAATTGTTTCTCCTGTCATCTCCACATTAGGGCAGGGCTAGTTGGTGCTTCTAGCATCTCAAGCCAAAGATCTTGGCACATTTCTTCCTTGTTCTTTGTCCCACACCTTAAATGTCCTTCCTAGGGGCTGGAGAGATAGGACAGGGATTAGGGTGCTTGCCTTGCATGTGGCACCCCAGAAACAACCTCCGAGCACAGAGCCAGTAGCTGCCTCTGAGGTCCACTGAGTGTGGTCCTAGCATTGTGGCAACACTGGATGCAGCCACCCTCCCACCTCCAGGCAAAAAAAAAAAAAAAGCAGTGTTAGTGTCTTTGTCAAACACGTCCAGAATGTGACCGCTTCCCACCCTCTTTCCTGTTTATCGCCTTACGCGGTGGCCACACTCATCGTTCATGTCTTATTCCTTGTCTTTTACTTCCTGCTACCATTCTTGCCCTTCTCTCTTAGATCAGCTCAAATGATATAGCTCATGTCAGGTGAGGTCTTTCCTGTGTTTGAGCCCCCAGTGGTCACTAAGTCCAGTATTACAAAGGGCCTTCAAGGCATGTCTAGGATTTCCCCTGCCCTTCCCCTCACCCACAGTGAACCTTCTCTTCTGACCTGACTGTTTCTAGGACACCTCTAGCATCTTGTCCCCCAAACCTTGGCACGTTCTATTCTTCAGCTCAGAAGACTTTCCTGCTCTCTCTGGTCTCTATTCTTTGCTCAAGGGTCACCTTAGAAACTGGCTATTCCTGGTGCCAGCAAGTAGCCCTATACCTCTCTGCCCCTCAAATTCCATGTCACACTTCCCAGATTAAACTTTTTCTCTGTTGCATCAGTTCTCCCTGGCTGATACATTTGACCTGGTGCTGATTGACAGCTTGGGGAAGGCAGGAACCAGCCAGTCTGGAAGAGTTTGGGGTACATTGTAGGAGCCCAGATGGGATTTATAGAGTAGGCAACTGGGTGAAACTGATGTCGGTGAGCCCCGTGGATGACTCATGTTACGTGAGGAGGAGAAAGATGGTCACTTTATCCCGATCTGCCTCTGCCACCTGGGACCCAGGGTTTTTGTCTCACCTTGCAGAAAGGAATTTCAGGAGTAGACGGGCAGTGAAATTACACAGCTTTTATTTGGAGGTTTTGAAGGGAAGGAGGAAGAGAAGGTGGGAGAGAGAGTGGGAGAGTGGAGAGTAACTGCTCAAGAGAGAACCTGGGCTTCTCCAAGGGCAGAGAGAGCCCCTACACAAACCCAGCATTAGACATGAAAGCATTAAAGTACACATCTCAAGTGGGGAGATGCAAGTGACACATATGCTCAGGCACTGCATGTGCTGGGCCACATGGGCACATGCAGCTCAGGGGCTTGGGCAGCATATCTTGTATTTCCTTGGTTCAAGGTGACTTTTATAGTTTCTCCAACCTGCCCCCAGGTGGGTCTTCCATCTAGGTGAAAGTCTGTTGCTAAGAAGGTTGCCTAGGGGGGTTGGGAGTGGTGATGGTCTTCTTTGAAATTTCTTTCCTGGTCTTTTGTTTCTGCAGGAGTTTCTCTGGGTCTGTTGCTGGGGCCAGGTGAGGGTCTTATCAAGGCCTTAGTTCCTGTTTTCTGCAAGGTTGGCCTTTGCAACTTCAGAGCTATTAATGACTTCCCAGGAAATTTACTGCCATTGCCTGGGGAGGGGCCCTTCCCTATCTGTCTGTCAAAACTGCTATTGACTATGCTGGTGTTTCTCTCCAGTTTCTCTCCATCTCTGTGCTCCTTCTTCCTACCAAATGTCCCTGATGCATCCATGCCTTAGGCTCTCATGCTCCCAGATGAGGTCACTGGGAACATCTGCCTGGAGCCCCCTCTAATCCCTGGGGCGAATGAGCAGTGGGTGGCAACTCCATTATCATGGGTAGATGCTGCCTCTATCCAGTATCTGGCTATGCTATGTGCAAGGCCTGGGCATTTTTTTTTTTTGTGGTACCCAGTTTACCAAGGACTCAAAGGGAGTCCCAGATGACCACGAAACATGTACTCTGCCAGATAGAACCGGTGTCTTCCTCTCCCCAGACCCTTTGCTGTCATTACTGCAAGGACTGTGTGAGCCCCTCCTGATTCACAGTCACCCCCAGGAGCCATGGCCCCTGATGGCTGTCCTTGAACCAGTCAGCCAGTGGTCTCCCAGCCTTACTCCCTGACAAGTGTCTTGCCAAGCCTGCAGAGTCAGGGCTCAGTGTCTGCCTCTGGGACTCCAGAACGCGCCTGGTGCCATGACCGTGGGCACTGCATACTGTAGGAGGAGCTAGAAGGAACTGGGAATTGGCAGCATTTCCCAAAGATAGGCCCAGGAGGCTGACCTTTTGCAGGTCGAGTCAGAGTAAAGAACATTCCAGGCCTAGGTTGTAGTTTGCGCGAAGATTTGGAAGGGATAACAGGCTTCAGGGGATCGTGAGGCTTGACTCAGAAGGTGGCCTCGAAAGGCCTCAGGAGAACCCCCCCCCCCCCACCCTTGCCCTCCACAGGAGGCCCCAGCCTACAGCATCCTTAAGTTGCCGTGTGAGCCCCGCCATGACTGAGAAAACCATCGTCATAGATGTGGGCTCCGGCTTTCTGAAGGCTGGCTGGAGCGGCTACAACGAGCCCCAGATTATCCGTCCAAGCATCGTGAGCTATAATTCTGAGCATATGCCTGGCCCCAGCAATGCCCTGTCACAGCTACGCCTTGGCATTAACGATGAGAGCCCCGACATCTTCAGTCACCCCGTGCAGCAGGGCAGCATCCACAACTGGGAGGCCATGGAGTTCTTCTGGACGTACATCCTGGAGAAGCTCAATTGGAATAGGGAGGATACCCGCGTCCTGCTTGCAGAGTCTGTCCTGAAGAGTTTGCTAGAGCGGAGGAAGACCCTGGAGGTGAGGCTCCCTTGGGGCTGATCTCCCCAAGGCACAGAAAGCCTGGCACTGTTTGCAAGTGGCGACATAAGAAACCCAGAGACCTAGATAATCACTGAGCACCCACTGTTTGCTGGACCTTGCCTCCTCCCTCCCTCCCTCCCTCCCTCCCTCCCTCCCTCCCTCCCTCCCTCCCTCCCTCCCTCTCTCCCTCCCTCCCCGCCCCTCCCCTCCCTTCCCCTTCCCTTCCCTCCCTCTCTTCCTTCCCTTCTTCCCTCCTTCCCTCCTTCCTTCCCTCCCCTCCCCTCCCCTCCCCTCCCCTCCCCTCCCCTCCCCTCCCCTCCCCTTCCCTCCCCTCCCCTCCCTTCCCTTCCCTTCCCTTCCCTTCCCTTCCCTTCCCTTCCCTTCCCTTCCCTTCCCTTCCCTTCCCTTTCCTTCCCCTTCCCCTTCCCCTTCCCTCCCCTTCCCCCTCCCTCCCTCCTTTGCTTCCTTGCCTCCTTCCTTCCCTTCCCTCCCTCCTTCCCTCCCTTCCTTCCTTGCTTTCCTCTGTCCCTCCCTTTATATCTCCACACCTGTCGATGCTCAGGGCTCTCTCCTGACTCTGCACTCAGAGATATCATTCCTGATGGTGCTCAGGGGAACCACACGGGGTACCAGGGATTGAACCTGAGTTGGCCACATCCCAGACAAACACCCTCCCTGCTGGGCTATCTCTCTGTCCCAGCATTCAATCCACTCTTAGTCCCCGCTCCAGACTACACATCTCTCCCCTCTCAGCACAGACGCTCTTGTCACCCCGTTGCTCACATAGGCATCTCAGCGCAAATTCCTTGCACCCGATGTTTCTTCTCATCCCCCCACCAAAGCATTCTCTGGAAGCCCATCATCATCGCCCCCTCCTGAGGCACCTGCCGCCCACTCTGCTCTCTTCACCTCCTTCCTCCCACCGCACACACAGTCCTGGAGATGGTCGGGGTCTCTGCAGGACATCCCTCTTGAGAGTGGGGTGTCTTGGTGCCATTTGGGGAGGGGGGAAGGGAAGTGAAACAGCAGGCTCTGCTCTGGGGGTCCTGGGTCTCTGATCTCTGGCTCTCTCTGCAGATCATGTTTGAGCGGCTGGGGGTCCGGTCCATCATGCTGGCCAACGAGCTGCAGATGTCCCTGTTCTCCCAGGGCCTCCTGAGTGGCGTGGTGATGGACTGTGGCTTTGGCCTCACCCGGGTGCAGAGCTTTGTCCGGGGCGTCCCTCTGGTTCAGAGCAGGCAAGTGATGCTATGGGGAGACTGGGACGTGTCCTCCTACCTCCTCAGGGAAGTCTTCACGGAGGGCAGCAGCCAGAGCAACGCAGACAAGCTGGAGAAGGTCTCCTCCATGCAGAGGCAGGTGTGCTACGTGCCGAAGGATTTTCATCAGATGCTGATCATCAGCCAGGACCCCCACGGGGACAGCCGCTTCCAGCTGCCCGACGGCACCTACGTGACGCTGAGCCCCTTGCACAGGATGGCCCCAGAGATGTTCTTCAGCCCGCATATCTTCAACATGCCAGGCCCCAGCCTGTCCCAGGCTGTCATGGATTCCGTCCAGTCCTGCCAGGAAGACTTGCAGCCGCAGCTGGTCTCCAACATGCAGGTCTGCGGGGGCGCCTCTCTCTACCAGGGCTTCACCCAGCGCCTGAATAAGTTGCTGGTCCTTGACCATTTCTCCAAAATCCACCGAGCTGTTGCCCTGCGGGCCCATTCTCTCAGGAACTTTAGTGTCTGGCTAGGCGGGTCTGTGGTGGCTCATCTGTCCACTTATGGGTCTATGTGGATCAGAAAATCAGAGTATGACGAAGGACTACGACCTATTGCAGTGGAGAGCTCCGGGCCTGACCACCAATCCGAGCAGGGGGCAAATGAACTGTGGGGACGGGTCTGAGCAGGGCTGCGGTGGGCTGGCTTTGGGGGTGTCTGGGCCACGAGCGACCAGCCGGGTCTAGGATTTTCTCTTGTCTCAAGGTGGCTTTCAACCCATAAAGAGTGACGATGTCATCTCTGGAATGGCGCAGGCGTTTCCCAGGGGTGTTCTGTGATAGGAGCGGGAATGGCTGGTCACCTGCCGTCTCTGGGCTGACCAGCTGCGTGGCTTCCAGGGGCGTCCTCCTGGGTTGTCCCCTTCTTCTCGGTGCAGCAGGCTTTAACTGGAGCAAGAGAATGAATGGGCCTTTCTGCTCGGTGTCCTGATTTTTTTGTGACGAGGGCTTAGCGACCAAGGAGATTGGGGAGAGGGGAGATTTCTAGATCTTTCTGGCCAGGGAAGAATTGCTAGGATGGAAGCCGACCTAGGCCAGACTCTTGTTTTAAGTATGCAAATAAAGGTCTTCTGCAAAACCTGTGCTGGCTTCTGTGTTGGGTCTGAGGTAGTGGACATGGGGGGAGGGGCAGTGATGAACCGGGGCCACGCCCAAGCAGCACAGGGAAGGGTCTCCCGCACACACTCTGTGCTCTCCAGAGGGTTTTTGTTGTTATTGTTTAATTCAGTTGAAGTTGGAGTTCCCATGAGCCTCATGTGTGCAAGCCTAAGGATCCCGGACTGAGCGGCATGGGGACTCTGAAGAAGTCGGGTGAGGGTTCTGGTTTCCTGGCCCTGACAGTTGGCTGTAGGGTGGGGCAATGCAGAGCATCTCAGATGACGAGAAAGGAAATGGACGAAGCCAGGTCAGGGAAATAGAGAGGTGCAGGCTCGCCTTCTTCTGGTGGGCTGGACTCCAGTGGACACCGTTGGGGACAGCGGGTAACTGCCCTCCTTTTCGGGGCCCTGGGAGCAAACCTAGGTCTGGTCAGTTCATGTGAGCTGAACCCCAATGGCTCACAGTTGCAGATGGGGGGGAGCCTGGAAAATCTCGGATAGAGCCCCCGGACCCTCCAACTTCCACGGGGCCAGGAGAAAGGTGAGAAAGAGCTGAGTCTGTTCCGCCACTGAGATTCAGAAGCAGAGCGGGGTGGCGGCTGGCTCAGTTGCTGAGAAAGCAGCTGTAAGTGTCTGTTTGCAAATGCTTTCTCCTGGTTGGTGGAGCAAGTGGGGTTCAGGTCCAGGCCAGGCTCTCCAACACAGTGCTCTTCTCAAGTGGAGGCTGGGGTCCCTCATGTGAACAGTGCAGAGGAGCGTAAGCAGAGGAGGTGCTGGACTGACCCTCAGGCACCCCCTGATGCTTCAGAGAGGAAGAGGAATTGGGAGCCCCGGGTCCAGCTCACCTGGTCTTTGACACCTGTGCCCTAGGCTTTTAGCCACAACATTATCCCCACCCTTGAGACGTTGGTAGCCCCCCAATGGAAAAGGTGGGATTCTAGAAAGATGAGCCTGGAGGGGGGGGGTTCGCTTAGACTCAGCCTGCCACAGGTTCTTAGATCTGATATCCGACTGGCACTGAGGTCGGTGAAGTTACCTTGGGCAAGTGCTCCCCCTCTCTGCGTTGTTGGGTGTCAACGAGGCCAACCAGAGCTGCTCCTTCTGCTTCTGGCAGGCTGGAACTGAGAGTAAGTGAGGATGAGGGATGAGAAGTCATGTTGAAGACTGAAATACGAGATGTGACTTTCGACGTGATAGCTCCATCTTGCTCTCTATTAATCAGGAGTATTAATGACCCCGGCAGTCACGGCGCCCTGCCAGGCATCACGGCAAGTGCGTTGTAAATGGATTCGCGTGAACACCGAAATGAGCGCTCTCTGTCCCCGTTTCCAAACACGAAGCTGAAGCGTGGTGATGTTACACACCTGCTCCAGTTCATACTTAAGCTAATAGATGGCCACAGTTAGAAGTGAATCCAGCATGCCTGGGAAGCTAGACTAAAAGCAGCCGACATATTTGTCTCAGGTAACCAATATGAAACACGAGCCTCTGTTCATCATCAATTGTAGTAGCTTTCCTCCATTTTTTCTCTTTCACGTTTAGTGGATTGCCTCGTGGTGACAAAATAGCTGCTTAAACTCCAGGCATTGCACCTTTACTCCCTGCAGAAAAAGGAAGGAAAAAGAGTGTGCCATCTGACTTTTAATATTAAGACAGTCTCACCCCACAGGTTTCTGCTCATGTCAATACTACAATACTACAATGGTTGGGTGAGCTCACCCATGCCACTCGTCCTTTTGCAGAGGAAGGATTGGACTTCTTTAAACTAAATTCGACTGCTGCTACCTGCAGAACCTATCTTTCTGGTGTTCTGGGTCTTACCAGATTCCTTTGCCCCCGCACAGGACTTTCCCAGATGCTCGCAGAAGCTGCTTTGGGATGACAGTGAAAGTGCTGATATACCGAACAGTAATCTTTATACCCAGCCCGGTTTATTTGTGTACACCTGGCCTTTAAAAGTCTCTAGTGGGGGGACTTCAGAAATGAGTTTGATAGAAAAGAGGGAGTCGGAGAGAAGATGGGCAAGGGTTTTATTTTTATTTTTTTTTCTTTATTTAGCTCTGGGCAACTGTCATCAGAACTCGTTTTCTCGTTTTATTCCGAATGTAACATTTAACCTTTCTGTTCAAGCATCAAATCTGGCTGCCTGGTGTATAATTATGAACTTTTCTTTCCCTTCCCTCCCCCTCCCCCACCCAGAAAGCTTTTAAAACTCCCTCGCTGGGTACTATCTCTCTCCTCTGACTCTCCAATTAAATTAAAAATAGCTGCTCTATGGGCTGTACAGGGCCGTCAACCTAGCGTGGAGCTGCCGGCACTCCAGGCCTGGCGGGGCGGCGAGAGGAACCCAGACGACGCCTGCCAGCTCTGGCCTGGGCTGCCAGCTGCTCTGAGCGAGAGGAGGCTTGTCCTCCACGAGGGGTCTGCGGCTGCTTGCCAGGGGCAGCCAGGTGCAGGGGGTGGGAGACAGGGTCTTGGCAGCGGGGGGCAGGACGCTGGGTGGGGTTGGCAGAAGGGACAAAGGGAAGGGCCCCAGGCGGGCCACTCCCAGCTGTGAGGGGAGAGTGCTGCCAGTTTCTCTTGCCAAGGCCAGGGCTTGGCACCCTTGTAGCTGGGTTTGGGTGGGGCTCGATGCCCAAGTTTCCCCAGATAACCCGGCGGGAGCCGTAGGCTCTGCAGAGGCAGAGAACAAAATCAGCGCTGACACGGATGCCCTCCTGGCTGCAGCAGCGACTTCCAGGGCTTCTCTTTTAGGGACCCTTTCTTTAGCGAGGCAGACAGACACGGGCTGAGACTTCGAAGCCAGACCATCTGGACTGGCCTCCTAGTGGTGCTGCTTTGTGCCCTGTGCCCTGTTGTCTGGGGCAGGGGAAACCTGCTTGGCATCTATGTCACAGGAGGCCTTGCAGCACGATGCTGGTTTTTTGTTTTTGTTTTTTTTTTTTTTTGGTTGTTGTTTTGTTTTGTTTTTGGTCTGAGTGCTGGAGCATAATCTCCTTTGGACGCAGGCCTTGCAGGCCTGGAGGGTGCCTGGTGCCTGGGAGAGGCGGTCCATCAGAGGGACCTTCTCTGGAAAGAGGTGTTGTTGACTTAGCAGCTTGTTTGGGGCCCTTGTCCTTGCTTCCCAGTCCCATCACTACCACTGACTCCCTGGTATGGAGTTTTATTTATTTTTTAAACTTTTTTTTTTTTAAAAATTGAATCACTGTGATTACAAAGCTGTTCATGATTAGTTTTCAGTCATACAGTATTCCAACACCCATCCCTCCACCAGTGTACATTTCCCAGCACCAGTGTCCCCATGTTCCCTCCCATCACCCCACACCCCCTGCTTGCCTCTGTGACAGGTGCTTTTCCTCTCTCTCTCTCTCTTTCTCTCTCTCTCTCTGTCTCTCTCTGTTTCTCTCTGTCTTCCTCTCTTTCCCTCTCCTCTCTTTCTCCTGCCCCCCCCTCACATGGAGGTTTATATAAAAGGGACATTCAGGATGGGCTGAAGAATATGGATGGGGAAGTGGGAACAGATGAAGGCAGAGGGTTGCTGGGCCAGCCCACAAAGTATCTCCTATGTCATGCCAAGAAGTGGCAGGACCTCATCCTGGGCACCAGGGGTCAACCTGTCAGAGTGCTCAGCGGAGGCATGACATCACTTGAAGGAATGGAACTCGGGGGATAACTTGGAGAATGGCCCAGTGAGGGATCGGACTAAAGCAGTCTCATAAATCAAGAGCCATGCAGACACATGTCCGTGAGACTTTAGGTTCTCACTCTGGCTTATCCAGGACCTTGTTCCTTCCTGATGCCTTAGGCTGGGGGTGTGGTACCTGTGATGCTTAGGAATGTGGTGGACGTGAGGGACCCAACTCATCCGACCACTTATTTGGTGGCTATTGATTTTAGAGTGCCTCTAGGCTGGAAAGTAGCAGAAGAAGCGACTTTGGAGGAGAGAGTCACCAAGGTGAGCGGAGAAGGAGTTCCACCCTGTCTCATTAGACTGATCTGTGCTGTGCTCCATGAACTCTTTTTCAGCACTGCAAATCCTCGACAGCTCCCTTCTACCTGCTTTCATGGTCCTATTGGCTAAGCAGAAGGAACTCTGGTGCTGGGCTCAGACAGCTCCGGTCTTAAATGTGTCCCTCACTTCCTGTGTCACCTGCTCCTCTCTGGTCCCTGTGCCTCATCTGTAAGGAGAGCTGAGACGGGGCTTTGGGTCATCGGTGCAGACGGCTGCTCTTTGCTGAGCCCTCTCCTAATTGAAGAATGAGTCTTGTTCTGAAAATGAGCCACACCCAAGTGTGAGCCACTGGTGGTTCTTGCTGACATCAACCCCTTACTGGTGCTCAGTGAGGGTTCATTTCTCCTCACATGGCTCAGACAGAGGCATTGGGTTTCACGACAGAGCTGTTCTCAGGGGCCTGGGGAATACAAAAGAGCCCCTAGAATCAGCGAGAGGCTGACTCAACTCCTTCACGGGACTTGCCTCAATGCAGTCCACTTCTCCCTCCATTTGGTGACTTTCCCTTCAGGGACAC